ACAATCACGACAAACAATCAAATACTGCCCTAAACTCAATAGCGGAAAGGCAGCGCTATCCTGCAAATATGGCGGATAAACAAAGCAGTTTCCCAGAACTCAACGCGGCGTTACGTCACATTCTCATTATTTATAGCTTTCTTATTAGTAGATACTGAAATTACATTCAAATAGTTTTCCATTTCTTTTAGGAAGACAGAGAAGACAGGGCTTCTTTACAGGGTAGAACCTGTGTATGAGCTTAAAATACATTTCTTTCACTTTGTTTGTGAGAAAGAATTTTTGCTGTAGAGACCAGATTTTTTTTTTCAATTAAGGTTAACAAACAAATTATTCCAAAAGGAGATCACAGGTGGAACAGAAATCAAATTCTTAAGAAATAAAGATAGCATTTTATAATTTTTGGCTTTCGACTCAGAGAAACAAATTTGACCAACAGGAGTATCACAAGGTTTAGGAAAGGAAGCAGTAGATACTGATGAGTAATTACAGTTTTTAAAAAGCATACATAAACCAGAGGGGATAGCTCCCAAAACTGTAGCAAATTCTTTTGGTGTTATTGGTATTTGGAAAGAAAGTTATTAGATGAACTAAACAGTGATCAGAGAGCCCCAAAGCTGCTCGTGGGACAGAGTGATATGCATTCTTTATTGTGGTTTAACAGTGATCCAATATATTACTGTCTCTGGTGGGACATGTGATGTGCTGTCTGTATTTAAACAACTGCTCCACCAAAAATAAACCATTACTGAACCAACTATCATAAAACAGAGACTTATTCTTGAATAAAATGTTCTTATTGTTCCAAATAAAACATCTTTGTGGTGAAAAGTTATGCTTATAAATTAGTGCCCATGCTAAGAGAACCTGTCGATGAAAGTTGGAAAGTTTGATAGGGAGTTTGGATATATCATAATTACACATTAAAGCAGCACTATGTAACTTTTGGCGATCTGGCGGTTAATAAACAGAACTGCACACATCCCGCGGAAGAACATTCCAACAGGAGCTACTTCTCTACGTTTATGTCTATGGCGATTCACGCAGGTTATGTGTTACTCCGCAGCGGTGACGACCCGACCAGGCTACAATAGTCCAAATATAAGTACTTATTATAAGTGTACCGTAGTGATTCGGAATAAGACAAAAACGCGGTTTGGAAGATGAATTCATGATGTACTCGCTCATTATATACATTTAGCAAATTTTGAACACAGAAAAAGTTACATAGTGCTGCTTTAAGAGAAAATGAATGCCACCAAGTTGTGAAAAAACAAGTTGAGGAAAAACATTCCAAACAGAAGATGGTTTGGCTAGATATTGGTTCAGCCAATTAATGTTAAATGTATTGTTGAGGGAATCAAAATCAATCAAATTCAGACCACCATTATTATATGCGTTTAATATGACTGATTTT